ACCCGCAATAAGTGAAAAACCGCGAAGTAGGAAAAGTAGTACAAGTAGTAAGTAGTAGTTTATTTTATTTATAAATACGTTTTAAATGCTTCCCACACTCTTGCAATATTCTAAACAATGTTTTTAAACTCTAAAGCTCAAAAAGATCACAGAATGTCATGATTTCAGCTCCCTGCTCTTGGCCACGCCCACTTCTCCGCTCTGAAAGCTGAACAGCTGCAGCAGGAAGTTTATCTTGCAGCTGTGGGCTGCACAAAGGTGCAGCAGGTGCAGGATAATTTTTTTTTTTAAATAAAAATTCCCTGTCGATAGTGCATCTCATCCATCAATCAGCGAATTGTGTGTCATGTTCAATCTTATTTTGAAAAAACCCACGATAGAGCGAGTCTGCGATAACCGAACCGAACCGTTGGGACTTACGTAGCGCTAAGCTAGTGGCATGTGCGCTAGCTAAAGCTAAAGATGTCTTCCCTCACACCCCACTCGAAAACTGCCGGTACAAACAGCGCACAGCTCAGACGTGCCTCTGTCTCAACATCATTCAGCAAAAATCACAGACGAGATGAGCCCCCCCTCCATGGCAAGTTATCTAGAGGAAACTCTGTTGAAACGGTCGCATTATGACAGAATTTACTCCACTACATTTGTGGAATGCTAGAAATTAGTGTAACAAAGTTATGTTATGTACTCCAAAAATATGATTTTTTTTTTTTTTTTATTTAATTTAATTTAATTTTTTTATATGCTGTTGATGAATTATGGTTTGGTCTCTATAAACTTTCTCTTGTCCTGTCCATAACTTCTGATCTGCTCAAGATAATCTAACAAACTTCATACATACACTCATGTAGACGGAGTGTTGCATAAGTTTTTCATCCCCCCTCCCCCCACCAACTATACGGGCAAGGTCAAAAATCAAGGTCAAACGCACCACAAAACACATATATTGTCTACTTGTAAATATTCTTATTTAGTTCTCTGTCTGTTTTTCCTGTGTTTCCACTTAGCAGAAGAGATGCTAAAGCATAGCATCATCATCATCATAGCACTTTTACTGCTATGATGATGATGATGATGATCATATCTCACCAGTTCTGTCCTCCCTTCACTGACTCTCTGTACGTTTCAGAATATATTTTTAAATTCTCCTGTTGACCTTTAAATGCCTAAATGTTCTTGCAACCTCATATATCTCTGACCTACCTCATTATGTTCCTTCTCGGGTGCTGAGATCATCTGATCAGCTGCTTTTGGTTGAAGCTCAGAGGAGATCGGGCCTTTTCAGTCGTGGGCCCTAAGCTTTGGAACAATCTGCCCCCCAACATCAGACAGACCACTTCCTGTTTTTAAATCTCTCCTAAAATCACACCTGTTTTCACTGACATTTAACACCGTGTGATTTTAGTATTTCATTCTGTTTTTATTTTTTTATTTTGATGCTTTGAATTAATTTTTTATATTATTATTATTATTATTTATTAAATTACTCCCATTGATTTTTATTATTAAGCACTTTGGTAACAGATGTTGTTTTAAATGTACAAATAAAGTTAGCTTGACTTGACTTCCAGCTGCCCCAGTGTTTCTCTCCTCTTGTTGCCAGCTCCTGCTCCTCCTCTCCTCTTGTTGCCAGCTCCTGCTCCTCCTCTCCTCTTGTTGCCAGCTTCTGCTCCTCCTCTCCTCTTGTTGCCAGCTCCTGCTCCTCCCACTCTCACCTGCACCTGATTATCCTCCACAGGTGTTTGTCATGCCCTACCGTTAGTTTAGGTTTTAAATTACGTCTTTTTCTGGTTGTCCCTCGTCCGTGGATTGTGCTTCTCATAGTCGTGTTCTGTTTCCTCCATGTCTCCCTGATTCTGTGTTTTATGTAAGTTTTGCTGCCACAACAGCTTTTGTTTTATTTATTCTAAAATAAATAGTTATTATTTATTTTACCCTTGAGTTCCCCGTGCCTGTCTGCACCTGGGATTGACTCTACGCAGAGCTTGATAATTCGGTACAGATTACTGTGTAACAGTTTGTAGACAGGGGTATAATATATGCGGTACTCATTATTATATTTAACCAACATTATATTTCATGCTTCAGTCAAATGTTGTAATTAGAGAAAATGTTATATTTTATCACTAAATGGAACCAGTTTTGTTCCTACATCAACTTGTGTGCTAATTATCACCTGCTACCTCAAGGTGAAGGGGGCGATGATGTTTTTAACTGTGTGTGTTGTGCAAAAAGTCTCATGAACCACCAGAAGAACTGAATTTAAACTTTTGTAAAATGTGACATTTTGCCTGAGCCCCCTGGTTTCTGCTCAGTCGGTGTACGATGTATTCACGTCAGGTTCAGTATTTTCTCGGTGGCGTTGGATCCTTTGTGTTTAGTCCACTCTGAGTATTTTCACCAGCCTGCCTTCGTCTTAGCATGACAAAGCACAAACTGTTCACATCTCCTCCACTGTCTCAGTAAAGCCCCTGCCGTTTGTGTTTCTTGTGGTTTCTCTCAGCTTCCACCCGGGTCGTTTTTTCCTTCGATGTCGGTAACGGCCCGCTGCAGGTTCGCGTGGACTCCAACGTTCCGCTAAATGACAACCGGTGGCATCGAGTGCGAGCCGAGCGGAACATCAAGGAAGCGTCTCTACGAGTGGATGAACTTCCCGTCGCGACGCAGGAAGCTCCTGCTGACGGACACATTCACTTACAGCTCAACAGCCAGCTGTTCATAGGTAGGAACGTCTTTGTTTCAATTCGCTCTGGCTTCTGTGTTTCATATATCACTCTTGGACAAAGAAAACAAACCAGATGGTTCCTTGGCAAACATCACACGCACAGATTACATTCTCTGACAGTTTCTTTGTTCTCCAGGGAACCAGATCAGTTCAGTATTTCTGAAATGTGAAGTTTAATGAAAGTCTAACCCCCCTTTAGTTTTTTCCTGTCTCTCATGTATCAGATCAGATGTCACGTATTAACAGCTGCCCGTTAAAGAACTGTCATTTTATATTTTAGTTAGTTTAAGTCTCTTATGCCGGTGTAGATTCTCAGTCATCCAGGATTATATTAATAAAAAAAGCTATAAAACAAAAGTAAAGGACATTGTTTGAGGACAGAAATGTTCATATTTTGGACAGAAAAGACAGGGGATGGGAGCGCAAAAGAAGACATTTACGTCAAACGACAACTGTAAAGTTAGTTGAATAAACAAGTTTAAACAGAGGAGGGGGTCTCAAATTTCAACTTTCAAAAATCTACAGTGCAGCATGAAGCCCGTCCGGTCCCCTTCATGTCGTCTAAACATCTCTTCTGAGCCAGACAACAGAGAACCTGATGACTCTCTGTTGTGAGGGGCATGTAGTTTCATGTGCATGTGCATGTGCAGGTTACATAACCAAGCCTCCTATGTCCTACTAAAAAGCATGAAACTGTTGTTTTCTATTTTTTATAGTATTCTATTGAACTATTTTTTAATGGGTTTCTGTGTTTTAATCATTTGAAAAGCAAAATATTTGACTCTTCTTTTGTGCTTTTGTTTTTTAACACAAGGCTACTTTTCTTTGATCTAACAAAGTAAAGTCAGGTCCTCTGGACAGTTTCTTCTTGTTGAAACGTTTCATCTTTTATCCAAAAAAACTTCTTCAGTCTGAGGAGCTGCAACAAACTCAGTCTTATAAATAGCACCTTCTCATATTGGCTCAACCAGTTTGTTGGTGACAGCCAGGACTAGTTGTTCACATGATAAAGGAGGACCATCAGTCAACAGTGTTGTTAGTGCCCTGATGACCGCTTGATATTCACAGGGGGCTGAGTGATACTAGCAATAACAGCATTGTAAGAGGGGGACAGTCGAACACAGAGGCCTCCGCCTCGTTTAATGATGGACGGTTTCACAAAGATGGCTTCCTTCACTCCTCTCTCAAACCATCGTTCCTCTCTATCAAGGATGTGAACATCTTCATCCTTGAACGAGTCTGGTCTGGAGGCTGGTCTGGAGATGAGTGTGGACCACAGAGTCCTGGCCTGATGATGATGCTCTTCTGTAGAGTTGCAATCAGGCCCAAAAAATTCAACCCGACCCGGCCCCAGCCCTTAGCCATCATTTCCAAACCTGACGAATTAACAGTAATTACTAATCCGACACCCCCCCACCCCCACCCCGACATTTTTTATTAAGCTTTGACTGCTTATATAGTTATTAACGGCGGATGTATGCGGCTGAATAAAAGGGGCAGAACGGAGCTGAGGGGGTGTTTGTCCTCATGGCCATCAAAGTGCATTAAATCTCTGCTTCTGCCTGCATTCTGCATTATTCAGACACGGACCATGCTCTGACATGTCGGTCGCGTGCGTCCGCTGAGTGCAGCAGCTGAATGAACATCCATTTCCCTTTGATGGATCACTGCCTGGCAGTAGTCCCAGCTGAAGCTTAACTGAACTTTTTTTTTTACCTCTTTCAAGGTCGGTCAGCGCACGGTCAAATGGCTGCATGCAACAGGTGAATGTATGGCAAGCCATGTTGCCATATAATTGTATCGTCGGCTGCGTGTGTCCGCTGACGCAATCAAAAGCCCAACACTGACCCAGCTCGCACATTAAGCACATTATTATGGCTCAGCCCTAATCCGGGTTCAGGTTAGAAATGACAGCTCTACTCTTCTGTGCTGGTCCATCCTTTTGGCCAGTCACTGTTTAGTTTCCTCAATGTAAGACTGATCACAGCCCTCCGGGCACAACATACACAATACTACTCTGTTTGCACTGGGGAACTGGATCTTTGGGATGGACCAGTCTTTGCCGTGAAGTATTTTGGAGTTTAAAAGCCACTGGGACGTTATGTTTGGAAAATAAACATCACAGTTTCTCTGAAACTCCTGCAACATACGGAATGACCACTGGTCTGGGTCTGGTTTCCTCCTTTTTCACCTGATGGCTGACTGGAGTCCTGTTTGGGACTCACTGAATTTTGGGTAAACCATACAGACTATGCGTGGCCTCCCCTGGGTACTCTTCTTTGACTTTTACCAAAAAGACTTTACATTAACCCTTGTTAAATATTACCTTATATTTTGGTCAATATGATCATTACTATTTTCATCAATAAGTAATTAGTAATGTGAAAACGTGAGAACGTGTTAGCTCAATCAGCTAAAGTCAACGGTTTCAGCCAAGCATGAGTGGAAAACAAAAACAAGTAGAGATGAAGCAGGCCATCAACATGCTGCTCTGACATCAGTTAAATCCTGTCTGATTGTACAAATCATCTTAAACCTACTTTCAGAACAAAAAGCTTCTGAGTTCTCAGCCCTACAGGATAAACTCCTTCAAACCTTCTTTAAAGGAGCCACAGCTTTGTTTGTTCTCCTGACCCAAAGTGCTGAACGGGTTTTTGGAGCGACGCCACGCGCACCTCAGCATTATTGAAAATGAAAGTGCTGAGGCCGGTTTCTGACCACTGAACAATAATCACAGCAGGTAAGTTAGCATGCAGCTGCACTCACGCACAGTCTGGTGTGATTTCCTGAACCAGCCTTTAAATCCTGTAATTAACTCTGAAGTGGAAACGATTCGCCGGACGTTCAAGTAATTAAACACCAACAAACTTCATCAATACTGCAGCCTTGTTCATCTCAACTTCATCTGTTAACTTTAATGCTCTGTTCAATCTCAGGGTTTCTTTATAAATCTATGACGAGAAAAAAAAAATATTTTTTATTGTCAGGCTTCATCTCCAGAAGGTGGACAAATAGACATTAAAATAGTAAAATAATGCAAGCAGACGTCTGAAAATCAATGTAAATCCACGTTTCATGATTTGTCAACTATAGATTTGTGTCAGAATGAGAGGAACTAAACACCGAGTGGAAATTATGTGTTTAAAAAAGTTAAATAGGAGCAAAAACACCGCGAGTGGCCGGGAATCCAGAAATATAAGAGTTTGGTTTGATAACTGAAGCCAGTAGGTGTCACTTACACCATGGAAGGCGGGTGATCGTGTATGTTCTTGTATTTGTGTGTTTGTCTGTTAGAAAGTCATGAATGGCTGGATTCTAATGACACTTAAAGAAATCATTGGATTCATTTTTACAGTTAACTCATCTTAAAATGTCCACTACATCTAATCAACAAAGGACTACACTCAGTCAGTTTTAAAGATATTGAGGGGAGATTTGGGATGGTAGTAGCTGAGAGTCATCTCCTTCGCAGTCTTTGAGTGCAAACGAATTGTAAAAGATCTTCAGTAAAGTCTTTGGTGTGCAAGATGGCGGGCAGGAATGCATTCCTTCAAGGACACCTGCTGTCATTAGATCCAGTCTTTCTGGTCTCTGTCCTTCATAGAACAGATTCTGAGCTGTCCTGGCAGCACCAACACGTACACGTAGGGTCAAGAGAAGGGAAACGATACAGTTGAGCAAAACTATAAAATACACTAGTCCGTAACAAACGAGGAAATTACATTAACAGTTCACTGTCGAAGTTAAACGACAACAATAATAAGCACCCACACGTACAGTAGAAACTGAGACAAGGGCGGTCGGACCCAGAGCTTCCAGTCTGATGGAGCAGCAAAACCAAAGCGAGACTTGATCTTTATAGAGTTGTTAACCACAAATACTGAGAGGATCGGCTGTTATACTTTGAAACCGGTGCTAGATCAGTTAAATATGGAGATGAATAACCCAACAAGGGCAGCACGGTGGCGCAGTTGGTAGAGCTGCTGCCTCTCAGAGAGCAGGTTACCCCAGTTCAAATCCCGGTCCGGGGCCTTTCTGGGTGGAGTTTGCATGTTCTCTCCGTGCTGCCGTTTGTCTCTATGTGTCCCTGTGATGGACTGGAGACCTGTCATGGGTGTCCCCCGCCTCTCACACAGTGATGTCTGGACATGGGCACCAGTGACCCCCACGACCCAAAAAGAAAGAAGCGGGTAAAGATAATGATGGATAAATGGATAACCCAGCAGCGTCTTTATAAATGATGGTAAACCAATGAATTTCATGACGAGTATGTAAAGAAGGACACATGAGCGTAGAGGTGATGATGATGATGTTCTATAAGGAGCGTTTGTAACAAACAGAACAGCAGAGTGCTCAGTTGTGTCCAGCTTACGAAGGACACCCTTACACGCATGTCTGTAAATTATGTCTCCATCACCCAGCAGAGGTAGAATGTTTTTTCAACAACGGTGCATTTCACAGCTAATCTAAACAAAGATAGATTTCTATATAGATAACCAAGTCTCACTTTAACCTTGGATTACAAAACATTAACATGATGTGAAAAGGACAGAGCACCATCGATACAAAGTCCCAAATATTTATAAACCGTTACCTCTTCTATAATGTCACTGTTTACAGTTGTGAAGTCCATTGAGGTGGGTATGGTTCCTCCTCCATGACCGAATCACATACATTTAGTTTTTTTGGCATTTAAGGACAAATTTAAGTCAGAAAAGATCTGCTGGATTTCAAGAAAACCACAATCTGGACTTTACAACCTCATCCAGAGTAGAACCAAAAGTGTATAAAACAGTGTCATCAGCATATAAATGAATCGAGGCCTCACTCTGAGGAGAAACTCCCAACTCTCTGAATCCCATTTCTGACTTTAAAACAAAAATGGTTCATCTGCTTCTGTTCTGTTGATTTAGAGGACACCAATAAAAGTGTTTAGATTTTTAAAAAGCGTTTTAAAGTTTTCAGCAACGCTTGCCCGCTGCGCCAGAAATCGTTCA